AGAGAGAGAATTTTTTTTAATATTTATTTTTTAGTTCTCGGCGGACACAACATCTTTGTTGGTATGTGGTGCTGAGGATCGAACCTGGGCCGCACGCATGCCAAGCGAGTGCGCTACCGCTTGAGCCACATCCCCAGCCCTGGACTTAATATCTTTGAATCTGCTTCTGTCTCCCAAAGATGTGATCACCATTATTTTCCTAGAGGTCCAGTTTGCCATGATCTCCTCTATAATGTTCCTCTATAATTTGTTTTGAGGTTTTTTTTGGGGGGGAACTGGGGGTCGAACCCAGGACTTTGCAAATGCTTTGCCACTGAGCTGCATCCCAGCCCCCCAAAACATCTGAATATTAATTACTTCATGTTGACTTTTAACAGTAGTCTCTAGTATCAGTTTCTAAGATAAAATAAACACTAGTAATCTGGTGGTCAGAAATTTGTAGCTCTTGCCAATTGCTTTTGCAAGATGCATAGTAAAAACCAGCAGCCAGACATGGTAGCACACGCCAATTACTTAGAGACTAAAGTGGGAAGATTACTTGAGCCCAGGAGTTTGAGACCAAGCCTGGGCAACCTATCAGAACCCTGTGTCAAAAATTAAATAAATAAAATCTGGCAAACAATGTGCAATGGAAATAGCACCATTCATTTCTGCGTCCATATACCTGTTTCAGTTAAGAAGAAATAAAAAGCATAATGGCAGAACTTCTCACTGAATACATACATTTTATTTCACAACTAGTGTTTTTCATCAATTGTTGCCTTAGTAGATTTGGCTATTGTATATTTGCCTAAGGCATACATTGGATAACAGTAATAAGATAAATATTTCTTCAGTTGGGTTTTGTTGATTTTGAAGCTTTGGTAGTAGCACTGTTTTTCAGGCTTGAATTAATGCTATTGAATATCAGCATAATTTCATCCTAGAACTTAAATCAGAAAATCCCAAAGACACCCATAAGTAAGTATTCTCAAGAAAACAAGACTTGCCTGTGGCTTAGTTAACAAGGCATGCCCCATTTTAGTGTCACCCAGTTTCTCCCATCCTTGCCCATCGCACTCAAAAGACAAGGCTGTAGCTTGTTGGAGAGGACTTACAGGCTCACAGACTGGCTCTTTCACTTTGTGGGACTCTGGCATTCTGTGATTTCTTCCAAAACATCAATTTTCTCATCTATGAAATGAAGATAATGTTTCCTCCTAGTGTTGTGGGGATTTAATGAAGCTCCATGAATAATATGCTTAAGCATTTGCTTGGCAGAAAATTAGCATTCACCAAACTCTGGCTCTCCTTCCCCCAAAAAATAACGTTCAGTCAACACTGTGGTCAGTTCATATCACAAATGTTTACAGACTTCATTGCCTCTCTCCAACCTATGACCACGGCATAGCTCAGGTTCCTAACTGCTGTTCCTGCCTCTTCTCTTACTTCTGTCCTTTACCCCAGGGGTCAGCACACTTTTTCTGTAAAGGACCAGATAATAGATATTTCAGACTTTTTGAACTATGCAATCTCTATTACACCAACTAACTCCCAAATAACCACGGTGGTTTCTAAACAAATGGTAAGGCTGTGTGCCAATAAAACTTTACTTAGAAAAGCAGGTGGCAGGCGGCCAGTTTGCCTCCCCTGCTTCACATAACATCTGCCTGTACTCACCACGTCACAGCTCTCATTCTGTCATCCCCTGCACAAGCAGCTCCCTGCTATACACAGGATACAACTCATTCAGATCTACCCCACTCATATTTCCAGCCTCCTTTCTCAGTTCTTCCTACTTACCTGCTGACCCCAGACTCTGCCAGTGAGCCTCCTCCTTGTGTTTTGCTATTTTTCATTTGATACCATGTACATGCCTAGACTTCCTTGCTCAGAAAGCTTCACGCTGCTTTCTTTACATGCCTGATTTTCCATCATCTTCAAGGCTATGTTGGGGTTCCCCCTTGTCTAAGAAGCCTTTCCCACCTGCCTTCCATCTGGGCTGGGTGCCCGTTTTTTTCCAGTCTTCCAGTGTTCTTGTTTATTTTTCTCCATGAACTTTTCTGACCCTGTACTGTACTTATGGACAGAGATCACATCTTTCCTTCTGTGCACCCCAATACCAATCCTTGGTGCATAGTCAGCTTTTTTTTTTTTAATATTTATTTTTCAGTTCTCAGCGGACACAACATCTTTGTTGGTATGTGGTGCTCAGGATCGAACCCGGGCCGCACGCATGCCAGGCGAGCGCGCTACCGCTTGAGCCACATCCCCAGCCCCCATAGTCAGCATTTAAACAACTGTTTGAATACAAGAACAACTTTCTTTATTTTATTTATTTATTTATTTATAATTTTTGCTTAGGATCAAACCCAGGGCCTTGTACATGCAAGGCAAGCACTTTACTACTCAACTACATCCCCAACCCTAAGAATGAATATATATTTTTAAATCATGAAATATCCTAAGAGTCAGAGTACATGCAAGTAAAATCTTATTTGAGCTGTAGACTAAAATAATACAATTCTGGAGCTGTTTGATATGACCAAGAGCCTTCTGGGCACTATGAAATTTAAAATCTTGAAAAATTTCTATTTTTCAAATATAAATTACTGTGTTGCCAAGAAATTAAAATACTACTTAAGAAATTTATGAAAAGATTCTGATACCAAACATTTGCATTTTCCTTTGTGCTCACTGGGCAGTCTTTCGTGTAGCTCAGGAATTTTGCCTACATGCTGTCTTTCTCCTAGTTCCTCGTCTCTTCATTATGAAAGATATGGTCAGACGCCTGCAGGAACTACGGCACACCGAGCAGGTGCAGAGAGCTTATGCACTGAACTGTGGGGAGGGTGCCACCGTCAGCTATGAAATTCAGATTCGAGTACTGAGAGAGTTTGGTCTTGCAGATGCTGCTGCAGAGCTCTTGCAGGTAAGACATGGCATTGAACTGTTGAAAGGAGGGAGCCTTGATCATCAGTCAGGCGGTATATGAGACATCCCAAGGAGTGCCCCACTGCTGCTTTTTCTTCATACGTGCCCTTTCACTGCCTCTGATGTCTTCGACAGGCTGCAGGTTTCTCCTCATGAGAAGCAGCATGGTGGAGTGGGCTGAGCACAGAGCTGGCTCTGCTCCTTACTAACTGGTTAACTTGGGTGAGTTATTTAACCAGTGAGCATCAGTTCCTTACCCATAAAATGGATTATTGTGAAGATAGAAGGTGCTGTGTGTCAAACAGCTGTGTATACATAACAAGCATCCAAATGGTGACTGCTACAAAGTTCCATCCCAACAGAGATGGCAAAGGAAGTAGGAAATTCTGAACCTCATTGCTTGCTCTCTGGTCACCAGATTTCAGGTTAGGCCTACTATCAGATGCCCACTGACCTTTCTTCCATATGAAAAGTTGTGCATGAAGGTTCAAATGCAAGCATGAGAATCATGGAATGAGTGCTTTTTTTTTTTCAACCTAGTAGGAAACAAATTCATTTCTAGTAATTATTAAGCATAAGAACAATAGCATTGGTTTTGTAGTTAAGATAGGATTTGTGGCATAGTTTTATCAGAGCCTTACATAAAATTTGATTTGATCTGGTCAAGTGGGGCACTTTCTTGCCACTGAATCTAAACTCCATTAACCCTGTCCCTTTCAAAAGGAAAATGTGGCAGCCACCCATTTTTTAGGTTCTTAATTTTTATTTTTTGCTGTAGTTTCCATCCCTAGAGTACATAGTCTGGTTTTTTACTTGTTTCTCTTCCCTTTGCCATCCTAAATTGTCTTAATTTGATATCTTAAATTGTATAAAAATCATTGTTCTCTTGCAATGGTTTGAAGTCTTAATCCAGCTTGGTTGTGTATAATGAGCAAGGAATGGTTATTTTGAAGTTATTTCACATAGAACATATACAGATGTTGTGTCAGAGTTTCTAGGAAGCTCCTCAGTTGTATTCCTTTTCTTCCTCTGATTTAATGTTAACTTTTTTTCTTAGCAAAATCATTTCAGTTAGGTTTTATTACTTGTTTTTACTTTATCACATATTGCTACAAGAGATGTCTGACTTGCTTGCTGGAATTTTACCTTTTACTTAATGTGGTCTTCTTAGCTTCTTAGGAATTTTACTTAACTCTCTCATCTTGTACAATTCCATGTGTGAAATCTCTTTTTTTTTTTTTTTTTTTTTTTTAATCTAGAATCCTCACAAGTTCTTTCCTGATGAACGTTTTGGGGATGAAAGTCCACTCTTGACAATGAGACAGCCTGGGAGATGTCGTGTTAACAGTACCCCTACTGCAGAAACCATGTTTACAGACCTGGACTCTTTTGTGGCCTTCCATCCACCTTTGCCCCCTCCACCCCCTCCATACCACCCCCCAGCCACCCCAATCCATAACCAACTCAAAGCAGGTTGGAAGCAAAGACCTCCCAGTCAGCACCCTTCACGTTCCTTTTCTTATCCCTGTAATCATTCGTTGTTTCACTCCAGAACAGCTCCTAAAGCTGTTCCTCCCCCAGTTTATCTGCCAGGTGTTAAAGCAGCACCACCTGACTGTACCAACCCCACAGGACTGGGGAGGCAGACAGTTGCTGCTGCTGCTGCTGCAGCTGCTGCCGCCTCTGCTGCAGTAGCATCCGAGAAACAAATGGTAAGTCAGCACTTAAGTCACCTGCCCCAAATCAAAAGTCTGTGGGATATTAGGAGCTGTTCCCCTGGCTCCAAGAACCCCACAGGACTCAGCAGTGCCCAAAAGTGTTATTGGCAGGCTGAAAGCATGCACTCGATTGTCATGGGGAAGAAGAGAAGAATGCTAGTATCAGCAAATGGGAAAGGACAGGAGCAGAGAGACTAGAGGTGTGTGTAGTAGGAACAAAGGCAGTGTTCTTGTCTGTAAGTCCATCTGCCAATAGCAGGAGGAGAGCAGTGATAGGTGGATCTGCATGCATCCTAATGTTCTGTTCAAGCCCGTGTTTGGAATCTTCCTGACTTCTGTCCTATAGGATCTGTTATTCTACCAAATGCTCTGGTGGAACAAGAAGGAAAAATTACTTAGAGCTAAGTGTACCACCAGGACCAGTGTGACAAAGCCTCCCCATTCAGAAAACAGTCAGAAAGTGAGTCTCCCCAGCTCAGCCCTCAGACCCTGCCTGACTCAGAGCCTCAGGAGCCAGGGCAACGAGTAGAGAGGCTCCATGTCAGACACGGATCTTCACCTGGTTTGCACTGCAGAAGAGATTGGACTTATGTTTTATGTAACACATTTGAGAAAAACAATAGTGCTTTTTAAGTCTTCCTACTTTGTCACATGCTGTCAGCAGAATTCAATAGAGAAAAGGAAAGATCTGTTATTTCAGGGAGGCTTCCTTAAAATAGAGCTCACCAGAAGTGATGGACTGCTATACACCTTGGGTCGAATTATGACTCTTCCCAGCCTTCCTGTCCCTCTCTACCTTGTTCTCCCTGCTCCTCCCAATTCCCCAAAATAAGGGATCGGTAGTATTTGATAAACCACATGCCCATTCTGTTGGTCTGGCCCTATAATTACAAAATTCAACTATTTTGTATCTTAAATACAATTCCTCCAAAGGAATGTTTTGGTTTTGTTTTTATTTTTTTTCTTTTGGAACTGGGAATTGAACCCAGGGTTGCTTAACCACTGGGGCACATCCCTAGCCTTTTTTGTTTTTTATTTTGAGACAGGGTATTGAAAAGTTGCTTAGGGCCTCACTAAGTTGCTGAAGCTAACATCAAACTTGCAATCTCCCTGCCTCAGCCTCCCCAAGTTTCTGGGATTACAGGTGTATACCACCACACCCAGCCTCTAAAGGAAAATTGTTAGTACATTCATTGTACTCTTTATTATAATAAAAAATTGGAAATAACCTAAATGTCTGTTCATAGGAGACTGGTTTATGATTTATCAGTACAATGGAATGTATTTTTAAATGATGATATCTGAGAAAAATTAATGGTAGAACTATCACTAAATAATATATTAATTATATATGCACTAAAACTATATATGCAATAAATTTTGTGAAAATGTATGCAGAGAAAAAAGGGGAGAGAAATACTTCACTATGTTAGCAATGATTATCTCTGTATGGAACATTAGGAGTTTTTTTCCTGCCTTTATAATTTTCTGTATCTAAGTATGCATTATAACATTTATAATCAGGAAACCAAATAAACAAAATCAGTGAACATTGATGGGCCTTTTTTTTTTTTTTTTTTTTTTTTACACCTTCTCTGCTTTGTCTCTATCTCAGTGTACCCAACCTGTGCTGAATGATCTAATGCCAGATATCGCCATGGGAGTATCCACACTGTCACTCAAGGACAGGAGACTTCCAGAACTTGCTGTAGACACAGAAGTGAGCCAGCCAGTTTCTGAAGCAGGACCGGGGCCTCCCCAGCATCTCTCGTGTGTTCCACAGAGGCATACACACACTTCTCGAAAAAAACACACACTAGAGCAAAAAACAGATGCTAGAGAAAATCAGCAGGAATACCCGGATTTCTATGACTTCTCAAATGCTGCTTGCAGACCTTCTACTCCTGCTCCTGGCAGACGCGCCCCTTCCCCTTCGCAAGGTGGATATTTTGGTCCTGATTTGTACAGCCACAATAAGGCATCACCAAATGGCTTAAAGTCAGCCTACCTACCTACTCAGACCCCTCCTAAAACCCAGGAAGAAGCCAGGAGAGAATATCCACTTTCCCCTGATGGGCATTCACACAGGCAGAAGAGTGAGTCCATACGCCTGGATGTCGTGGAGCAGCCTCCCCAGCGATCAGACTTCCCTTTGGCAGCCCCAGAAAATGCTGGCAATGGTCCAGCCCACATCAGGGGACGAACTGCAGTAGAAACCGACTTGACTTTTGGGCTGACTTCTAACAGGCCTTCTTCACAGTCTGCATGTAGCTCTGAGGCTCCAGAAGAGCGATCCACCAGAAGGCTGGCAGACAGTGAGTCCCTGAGCCATGGAGCTCAGAGAAGCACAGAGCTAGAAAGAGAAGATTCCATAAGCAGAGGAAGGAGGTCACCCAGCAAGCCAGACTTCCTCTACAAAAAGTCTGCCCTCTGAGAGCAACCTCCAAGTCGCCTGTGCCTGAGATGTGAAACATCCATTCTACTCCGTAACCCGACAACTCACTGACCAGTTTATCAGTGCCAGCTCAGTTCCACGTTATTTTATTTTCAGTTTTGTGTGTATATGTTTATTACACATGGCATGCTAGGAGGGTTATTTTGAATGCTGCATCTGTCTGTTTTATGTTGGAACAATTATGTGAAGAAGCATTTTGAACAGAAGGCAAGCTGGCACTTTTTTTCCCTCTCTTTACAAATGATGGAATTTTTTTGCACTTGTACATTTATTTTATCTGTATTGATTTTATATCAGTATGTTAAACTTTATTGCCACATTTAAAGGACTGTATTTTCATACTTTTTTGCATTTTACCTTTCATCTACCAGTTTTCATGTGCATTGTATTGCACACTAAGATGTATTTTCTTATGAAATAGTTCTGTTTATTTTTAATTATAGAAATTCCAAAGAACAGCACATCAAAATGCTCCTCTCTTTTAAACAGTTGTTTGAGTTCAAAAATCTTCCTGCTCAGTCTCTATAGATCTAATGTCATTCTTCTTTAATAAGTCTTGGGAGCTAGTCTTTATTCCCACTGTGAGGGTCCTGAAGTCTTTGGGTGTAGTAGAAGCAGGAAGGAGAATAGCCCATGGTGCCCAGCCCAAAGCTGTCACTTTACTCACAGTGTGGACACTGTCAGGGTCCCTGTAGACCCTGGTGGTACAGGTTAAAGTATTGCTCCCTGGATGTGGATCTGAGAAGATCAGATTCCTTGGAATTGGAAAGCAGGGGAGAGAGGAAAGTCAGCTAAAGGGCACAGCAAAGGGATTTCAGGATTCCTGGCCCTGCGGGACTTTCTGTCTGAGCTGGGGAAGTGACTGCCTGCTGCCTTCAGTTGTCTTGCTTTCTATGGGAAACAAAGGGCTTCAGTCTTATGGATGTAATGTGGTGTTTGTAAGCATATGTTTTTTTTTTAAATATTTCTCAAAGTATGTCTGAACTTTGGTGTCCTATAAAAAACTTGTATAATGCATAATGCTTTGTCACCAAAAAGAAAAAAAAAATTGTTAAACACTACATGTCCTACTTGAACTCCACTGGGGATGCTGGTTTAGCATTTACTGAACCACTGAGCACATGAGGTCTCTCTGATCCTCTCCCTTGGAAGGGCAGTGTGTGAGCTAAGGACTGTTTTGTTTTGTTTCTTACTCTTCAATGTAAATATATTAGTATTTGAGTTTAAATCACTTCATTATTTAACATTCACTTTGTATTTTTACAAACACAGCCGTAGCACTTAGAAGAAAAGAGACTTCCTGAACATTCTCTCAAAGGATATTCAGGAACCTCTTTTCTATGTATGTATGTGTATGTGTGTGTGTGTGTGTGTGTGTGTATATATATACACACATACATATATATATATATATTATATATATATATAAAATAAAACTATGAATCACACTCACTATAAAACTATGCAGGGCTGGGGAGCCTTCACAAGCTACCATATAAATGAATTACATGCACTTTGAAGTGACTAGGTTTCTATTGGGTGTCAGCAACTCTAATTTCTCCTGAAACAGTAGTTTCTCTTCTGGTCTTTTCCTACTTTACCCTGTGGATATACACTCAGGAATAATTTGACATTTTTTAAATTCCTAACAATAGATAATCTCAAATTTGGGAAGTATGTCTGTATCTTCTGTGAGCTGCTGCCGCCCATTCTGCTGCCTGGCCGGTTAGCTGCTGCTGGTGCATTCAGTTGTCGACCCTGGTGATGTTGCATACTGAGCTCCCAGCCTCCAGTGGTCACATGCATCTGCTGTAAAGTCTGCTCGCAGAGCCTGTAAGACTCCTCTTTTAAAGATAGAAAAACACAGGACTCTCACTTTTAAGTCTTATAATAGATGCTGGTGTCTTCTGAAGCCCAGTCTCAGTCTGTCTTCAGAAGCAAATGTTAATTCCATCATTCTTCAGTATGTGTTTATAATACACAAGTTGACATGAATTAATCTGAGAGCTTTAGATTTCTGTTCTGCATTAGACTGGACTGGACTGGTTCTGCAGAGGAGAATGAGTAGACCTAATTTGAATGAGGAAGAAATCTCATCTCTGACCTATTTTGTTTCCCCAATATGTTAGAGAGACCAGGGTTATTGGTTTTTCTGAAAATTCATTAAATAGTCTTTAAACATAATTATAAAAACTAGTGGCCACTATTCATAGTATTACTTAATTTTAGATGTTGCTTTTAATAATTTAGCTTACCTGGCTAAACTATGTATAGAGGGGAATCTTGCTTTAATCTGTGGGATTATGGACTGATATGACTTGCAGAAGATGAACAGATGTGGTTTTGTGTGCATTAGGCTAGTGTTGGTGGACTCTTAATGGATCTCGTGAAGTATAATTAATAGAGTAGGTCGATAGCTCTGTGCCTCTGGCTTTTGAACTCATCTATTCAATCATTTCTAATGCCAAACTAAGACAAATGTAAAGTGTGAGTAAGATTGCTCTTTTAAAAAAAGTATATATAATATAAAATTTAAATACATAAATTGGCATTTTACTTGATATAGAAATTTCATGCGAACCAAATCACAAAAATACCAGATCTCCTTTTGAGGCCCTGGACAATCTGGCCATTTGGACAATCACTGCTCCCAGTGCCCACTGTGTGTTGAGGTTAGCAAACTACCGTGTAGATGCTAGTGCAAAGGAGAAGAGTAAGATTAAAAGATGCTGTTGGTCCTTTTCTTGTATAATCATCTTAGTTTTATGATTTTGAAAAATAATTTTACTAAGTTGCCCATGGCCCCTAAAGAGAAAAATAGCAGCATGAAGAACAAAAACCATTGGAACATGACTTCTCTACTACACGGACCACACCCATTCTCATGCCCCATCAGCTGGGCACATGTCCCTAGACCTGAGCTAGCTTGGCTTTTCAATAACCCATTAGGCTTTAAGGATTTTTAGTGAGTTCTTTTTACTTTTGTCTGCCCCCCACCCACCCCCCTGCTTTAGTATTGGGGATTGAACCCAAGGGCGCTTAACCACTGAGCCACATCCCCAGCCCTTTTATTTTTTATTTTGAGACAGGTTCTTGCTAAGTTGTTTTGGGCCTCTCTAAGTTGCTAAAGTTGGCCTTGAACTTGCAATCCTCCTGCCTCAGCCTCCCAGGTCACGGGGATTATAAGGCGTGCGCCACTGTACCCAGCTAGTGAGTTCTCTTGTTTATTTTTTTTGTAGAACTACCTATGAAACTTGACCTAGTCTTGTTTTGGCTTTCTCAATCTCTTGGGGGTTTTTTTTGTTGTTGTCTGTTTGTTTGTTTGTTCAACTTCTAGCAATGGGCACAATCCTTGTAATTTGAATGAAGCTCATGCTGCAGAATGTAATGGAGAAACAGCAAACGCAGCAGAGCCCTGGGGCTTGGTGCTGACCTCTGGTGACATTCTCTGTAGTTGAAAGGTCAGCGTTCCCCAGTCACTACCCAGCAAGATTTATATTTTCATAATGGTGAATTTGCCTTTTAGGGAAAAATGGAACACTTGTAAAATTGTCGTCTTGCAATCCTAAGGATTTGTGTTTTTATCCTAGGACTGAATTAAAAGGGAAATGCCTCTTTGACTTTTGCTTCTCTGCAGTCACTATTAAAGCCGCAGTGATGGGTGCTCTTCCCAGGTCTGCAGTGGTTCACTTTGTCTACTATGTGATTCACTTCCAAACCTCATTACAGGTATTCTTACTAAAGCGTTGCCATGCACACCACTAGAAGGTGTCTTGCTGTTCTCTCCATGAACACCTTGTATGAACCGTGCTTCATGGAGTGTTGTCTTTGTGCCTATCAGTTGCGATAGCTGTTGTCATTGTCTGGCAGTCTTTTGGTTTTTTTTCCCTCTAGAGAATCCTCTGACTGTGTTTCAGTCTTTCATATTCTGAATATTATAATGCTGTGGCCATTTCTACAGAAAGGTTACTTGCAAGTGCGTGTCTTGACAATAACCTCTTGTGTTTGTGTGTTTACGGGGGTTCTAAGATCCCATAAGCGCTGGAAGCTTCCTCGGGTGTACCTGCACGTGACTGTGTGCCTGGGTCACCTGGGCAGAACCCTGCTCTGAGATGGGGTGGCTGAATGCTGAAGTTCCTGGGCTCCACTTGCTGTGTATGTACCACACCTGTACTTGGGGACGGGAGACCTTCTACGCCACTGCATTTCTCGTGGTTGTGCTGTTACTGGTATAAAGTCAAGTGCCTTCAATGCTCAAGGCTCAGAAATTTTTCTTAAACTGATTTCATGTCCTATGCAAGTGTTTTCTACAACCTGCATAACCAGTACTTTGTAAAACTTGTTTACGCTTCAACTGTACATAGTGTTTTTTAAAGAAATATATAGTATTTTTATTTAGGTACCTCCAAACTTGAATTCGTCTGTGTGAAACATTGTAAAACGATACATTTCTCTTTTGAGTACCATTGCAGTTGTACAGAGGTTTTCACTGGTTCTATTTTTCTACTGTTACTGATAAAGCATGTAACACTGACTTTATCCTACATATAGTTGGCATTTCAAATAAATGGCTTGTATAGAACCTGCTGCGTTGGATACAGTCTGTTTTAGTGGTGGGGCAGACACACATGCGTTACAGACAGGGTGGTTCCCTTCAAGGGTGGAATTGGGAGGGATTCTACAATGATCTTCTGTTTCTGGGATTTCAGCCGTGCAGAGACATTTGTTATTTTTATGGTTTTCTTGGAAATCTCACATTTTATTCTGAATCATCAAGTTCATTGTTATTATTTCACTGGGACGTTTGTGAGGATTTCATTTTACAAATTTGAACAGAAAGTTACTTGGGCAGGGGTCTCCAGAGGAAGTTTAGCTTTAGCCTTTAACCATGTGCCCTGGGCATCTGGAACATGTGGTGGTCAGTCAGTAGTGAGACAAGACAGATCTGCTGTGCAGGGGGCCTCCGAGCATCGAGACTTGGCTGAGATACTAAGCCACCTTTCTCTTTTAAACTCGGGCTCCTTAGTATTTTTCAATTGAAATGGGAAATGGAATTATGATCTGGAGTCTAGGGTTCTGGAAAAAAATGTAAACTGGAAAAGATTTCTAATTTCCACTTTTAAAAGTTGCTATAAAATAGCTCATTTTAAAATGTTCTAATGATTTTATTGACAAGCACTACCCAAGCATTTTCACCCTTCATGCCTTGCCAGGCAGTTCTCTATATTTTGTTCCATTGTAGGGTTAACTGGAGTAGCATGGTAAAATCAGGTTTGTGTGGATGAGTTTCTTAGAAACCTGAAAAAGGATTGGGGATGTGGCTCAGTGTCAGAGTGCTTGCTGGGTTCAATGCCTAGCATCAAAAAAATAATAAAAAATAAAAAGTGAATTAACCTTCATTTCTGTACTTAGGATTATCCTGAGAAACAAGGATAATGGCATTTCCCCACTCACCTGGGCCTCACCTGTCCTCAGGACACAAGGAGATCCTTCTTGAGACCACAGTTCCCATGGTCAGGAGTGTATAGCAGCAGGCGAAACAGACAGGAGACTTTTTCAACTGGCTGGAAATGAATTTTGTCCTAAAAACAACACAGCACAGGGCGGTATCATGGCTGGAGGGAAAGAGTAGCTTGAAGTGGCCCAGGAATGGGTGGACGGAGGGAGAAAGGCTGCAGCCAGAGCCAAGCACTGATGTTCTTTTTCTTTAAACCTTTGATGAAGTAGGTATTGAAAGAGAAGTGACCACAACACTCAGAGAAACCAAGAGATCTTTATTGCAGCAGTGCAACAGAGGAGAATAGAGAGAGCGCAAGAAAGAGAAAGCAAGAGAGAAAAGGGCCCGGCAGGAGGGAGTTTTATAGCCCAAATCTAACGAGGTCTCTGGGTCTGTAAGCTGCCTTGTTGGCACAAGGGGGTCAGGTGCTTGGCCTTGAGCAGGGGTTTGAGTGTTCAGCCTTGAGCGGGGGCTTGGGCGTTTGGGCTTGAAGCAGACAGAGGGTTTGAGAGGCCAGGTCATCCTGCAGCTAACTTTGTTTGGCATGCCCTGCAGACAGCTTACTCAGCCTGTCCTGCACCTAACAGGTATCATTACAATTAATACTCCATGAATCAAGTACTCTTACTTGTGCCATTTTACAAAATAGAAAAACCAAAGCTCCAAGGTCCTAGGTACCTCATCCCAGCAAGGAAGTCGGCAAGGCTTGGCTCACCCAGCCTTCTGAGCTCTAGGCACCTGAGCCCCGC